GGGGGGGGGTGGGCAGCCGCCCCCCTCCAGGGGCAATGGCTGAGATTCAAGAAGCTGTCCCAACAGCCAGTGGGCCAGTGAGCAACCCGAGCTGGAGGGCAAACCCTCGTTAGTGGAAGGGCCCAGAAGCCCTGTGGTCTGCGTGAAGGCTGCTGGCTGACCTCTCCTCTCCCAGCCCCAGACGTTCCACTGCTTGGTGGCTGTTCTGAATCCCAGGCCACCCATGATCACGGGGCCTCCCTGCAGGCAGGCGGGCTCTGGAGCTCCTCCACTACAGGTGGGGCAGCTGGGCAAATCGCCGATGTCCCCCCACCCCAGCTCAGTTTCTTCCCCCGCACAAAGCAGGCAGGATAAGGTCACAGTGCAAAGCGCCCGTCTTGCAGCCCGGGACACGTTAGGTGTCACGAATCACTTTTCCTTTCCTGCTTTCCAAACTCATTAAAGAACGCGCCCTGCGGCCCAAGCAGTCAAGCAGTCACATGTTCGGGCCCCCACGAGGATGCCTCCTTCTGGAAGGAGGGGCTGGGAGCACACAGGCCACCTCGCTGCATTTCTGCTCTCCCTAAGCAGAGGGAGCCTGGCCATTCTTTCCGCTGCTGTTCCGTCCTTCCTTCTCTGCTGCCCAGCAATGACAGTGACTCAGGCAGAAACCCAGGTGGGCCAGGCAGTGACTGGGAGCTGAGTCAGGGGCACTCAGCACTGATGTCTAGCAGCCCCGGAGCCTGGAGCCAGCCGGGCCTGATGCCGCAGACTGGGCCCCTGCTGCAGGGCGGGTGAGCGGACCACAGGCTGTCTACCACGGTCCTGGAGCAAAGCAGGTCCACAGAGGGCCGAACGGTCTGTCACGGCGCAGGGACAAGCCAGGGGCCACGGGTGGCTCCCACGGCCGGTGAGAAAGGAGCTGTGCAAGCCCCTGCTCTTGCTCCCCATTTTAGGGTCCCCACGGGACAACAGCAGTCGCCCCATCACTACACCCCTCGGTAAGTCCTGTCCCCTTGCAGTTTGATGGCCTCTCCTTCCCCAGAAGCTCACCGAGCCAGGCCTGGGCCCAGGGACTGAACGCTCCAGGCAGCAGGGGTCAGTGTGCACCAAGGTGGGCAAGGGGAACAGTCTCCGTGACCGTGAGGCTGGATTCCTGTCCTGCAGGTTGTGTTGGTTCCAGGCACTGGCACTCCTCCATTCCCGGCACGTCAGTGCAGCCCCCCTAAGGGCGACATTCCCTAAGGGCGAGGGGCGGCTGCAGCGTCTTCCGGGCGGGTGCCAGGGCGGGGGCGAGGTCAGGGACAAGTCTCTCCGCACACAGGTTCTGGGGTCAACAATTCAGCACATGCAGCATCAGCCCCGCAGACCGTGGGCGGCCCAGAGCACTCATGAGATGGTCACGTCACCCTTGCTCATTCCGGGTTTGGGTTTTTTGCCTTTTTTTTTTTTT